CCACGTGAGCCAGCGGTATAAAATTCAACCCACACTCGGACCCCCAGGACTTCAAGAGGCCATCACGATCATCTGGGCGGGCCTCCCACACACTGCTGGCCACAGGGCCGCCCCCACCCACTCCCACCCCAGACCTCTGGCCCCAGGCGGAGTTAGTGAAGTCCTCGAATCATGGTTTAAAGCTTACAGAGAATCCACCTTTCCCACGAACTGAACCCTGCAAGTGACCTGTGTCCCATGCTGCGGAGGAAAGCAATAATCACCCCCCCCACGCCCGTCTCTGCAAATCTAACCCTGGGAAAATGCCTTCCGGACACCCACTCCCACCCCAGACCTCTGGCCCCAGGCGGAGTTAGTGAAGTCCTCGAATCATGGTTTAAAGCTTACAGAGAATCCACCTTTCCCACGAACTGAACCCTGCAAGTGACCTGTGTCCCATGCTGCGGAGGAAAGCAATAATCACCCCCCCCACGCCCGTCTCTGCAAATCTAACCCTGGGAAAATGCCTTCCGGACTCAAAGCCAGTAAGTCGGGAAGCCTGCGCAGGGCGAGTGTAGAAATCAGGGTCAGTAGTTGCATGCTCGTGGCATGCGCCTGGGCTGCAGAACGCTGCACCAGTACCTCTGCGCAGTGACTCTTGGGCCCCTCCAACCTGGGATCAGTCCCGTGCCAGACGCCCCCGGCCGACCAGTAAGGCCAACTAGCCGAGTGTCCCCGCTTGCCCAGACTAATGACCCGTCCACGCGGGTATCTGACGGGTTCAACACCACATGCTCCAGAGGCTGTGCGTGGGGAGGGACCTTTCCCTGACCTCTGGCCTTTACATTCCCCCCACCCCCGAGAGGAAAAGGGTTCCTAGCACAGGTGAATGAGTCCCGCTCTAGGGACCAGTTAGTCCAACCCAGCATCGGTTTTAACCGATCCATCGAGTGCCTAGCGGGTCAGCTCCCCGGTCCGCAGAACCTGACCTTCCTCATCGCCTCCGCATCGTCCTCTGCCTCCTCATTCTCTCGGTCGTCCTGATTGGCTAGTTTCATAGCCGTTTCCAGGACTCCCACGATGCTTTGGTCCCCTGCGGACGCCTCCCTGCCATGGGTGGG